CGCTGGCTTTTCAATCATCATTTAGCCATGACTCGCTACTTCTCTAAAACTAGTTTAGTGCAATGAGAAGCTTGGCCTGACAAAGACCCCATTCAGTTTGTAAGCCTTTTCTCCGTCCCTCTGATACAATTATCTGCACAAAGCCATGTAAACAAGCAGCACAATGGACACAGCCTGGCCCTGGGCTGTCATTAGAGCAGATTTTCCATGCAGTTATGCTCTAAAATCTTATGCACAGTCCTTTTGGAGACTGGGATGAGCCTATGTGGGGTATAACTCTCTCTCTGCAAAACAAGGTCACCGCTCTGCCTTGACACATAGTCCAGCCTTTCTTCCTAGCTTTTATCACAAAGCCATGCACACACACATGAATCTGAATACATAATAAAGTCTGATATGAATGCACAGTAAAATAACTGTAGAGTTGTATTGTTTTCCAAGGATTTCTGGGATGAGCAAATGTAGTGTTCTTATTCAGTCCTTCAGTGCTAAAATAAACTGTGGTGCTGCTTTAAGGACTAGCAGAAAAAAAGTTTTCATATTAAATGATTATTGTGTGTGTGTGTGTGTGTGTGTGTGTGTGTGTGTGTGTGTGTGTGTGTGTGTGTGTGTGTGTGTGTCATGCAGTTATGCTCTAAAATCTTATGCACAGTCCTTTTGGAGACTGGGATGAGCCTATGTGGGGTATAACTCTCTCTCTGCAAAACAAGGTCACCGCTCTGCCTTGACACATAGTCCAGCCTTTCTTCCTAGCTTTTATCACAAAGCCATGCACACACACATGAATCTGAATACATAATAAAGTCTGATATGAATGCACAGTAAAATAACTGTAGAGTTGTATTGTTTTCCAAGGATTTCTGGGATGAGCAAATGTAGTGTTCTTATTCAGTCCTTCAGTGCTAAAATAAACTGTGGAACTGTGGTGAGGACTAGCAGAAAAAAAGTTTTCATATTAAATGATTATTGTGTGTGTGTGTGTGTGTGTGTGTGTGTGTGTGTGTGTTTTTGTGGCCCATCTTTAAGTCATTATGTCCGCTATAAACAAAAATGACATCTATAAACAGAAGAATTATATATAATCCAGGTGCCTATAGTATATAATAATCCAGGTGCCTATATTCAGTCAGTCATTTGTTTTCTGTATCATTCAATACAATTTCCACTTCATTTCATTTTTGAATGCTAATAGTTGTGTTGTGCATGTCGGAATACATTTTTTCTGTCTAAGACTATTCAAATGAAAACATGAAATCTCTCAGGTTCCATCTTCAGATGTAATGTACCATACAAGAGAGGACAAAAGCAAGGAAACAACTAGGACTATTGACCTCTGGAACAGCTTTTAGGTTACGGTACACAACAAGCCCCCCTCTGTATTTTCAATTCGCCGAATGACAGTGTGGGGTCAGACTGTGAGTTCTTGACACCTTCACTGTGAGGTCAATTCTTCACTCTTCCACATGCCATTTTCTGCCACAGTGAAGAGCCTGAAAGAAGCCTTATGAACACTTTCACATCATACATAACCCGTATGTCATGAGTCACACTTGTCTAGGTGGATGTGAAGTTGTTGCACAAACAGACTCGTGGAGGATGCCATTTCTATACATATGGAATCCACACCTGGACAAACGCAACACAGATGTCAGGATGTTGTTCTCATTTAACATTAATTCCAACCAAGCAGGCCTTAATGCTGCTTTATCCTCCAACTGGAGTTGGGATATTATGAAATAAGTGGAGATATGATACAGAAACTTGTTGAGTAGCGTAAACTAGAAGCTGTTCCAGAGGTCAATAGTCCTGGTTGTTTCTTTGCTTTTGTTCTCTCTTAGTACATTACAGCTGAAGATGGAACCTGGGCGATTTCATGTTTTCATTTCAATAGTCTTAGCCGGGATGTATTCCGACATGCACAACACAACTATTAGCATTCAAAAATGAAATGAAGTGGAAATTGCATTGAATGATACAGAAAACAAATGACTGACTGAATATAGGCACCTGGATAATTATATATTTTAATTTTAGGCACCTGGATTATATACAGTATAATTCTTCTGTTTATAGATACAGTATATCATTTTTGTTTATAGCTGCGCTGCATATGGTTTTCAAACCAAAGATGCAAGATGTTAGAATATTTTTTGATGCACATTAATAATTAATAAACAAAACAAAAAAAAACAACAACTCAGCACATATAGAGAACATCAGATATGGTAAACGAAAGCTCACATGAGTTTCTTTGATGTGCGACAACCAATGAGGTTTGTTCTCGCAAATCACACAAACACGTTTGAGCTTCTGCAAGAACAAATGAGGTTTGTTATTGTGCGTCAAGCAATTCGGTTGAACTTCTATTTACCATATTTGATGTTTTATGTACACTGAAAAAATAGTATCCTAAAAACAGTAGCATCGAAATTAACTGTTCTTATTTAAGTCTGAATCAACCTAAATACATTAATTTCTATCAACAAAACTAAATTGTATGGGTTAAATAAGACAGAAATAGCTCTTTAAAGGCACAATATGTAATTTTCGCCGCTGGAGGGCGCGTATTCAAAATAAACAAATAGACAAAGGCGTAGTTAGATGATGTTGTGACTGAGTGTGGAATCATGGGAGTTGTCGTCTTCATCCCCACAGCCGATGCAATCTGATGGGACTTGGGCAGAAATCATGTTCATGGATGAGCTAATGATTTATTAACGTAGTAGTATGAAGCAGGGTGAGGCTGAAAGCCGTCGAAGCGAAACGAGGCCTCTGAACGAGCGTGACACAAGGCTCGAAAGCAGCGGAGCTTTTATTATGACACAGTCGACCGCTTCCACTCCTTCCGGTCGTGCGTATGTGGGGTAAAGCAGCGCTGTTTTATCATACTAGATACATTTGAAAGTTCTGTTATAATGCTACTCTGTGCGGTCATCACCGGTCTATTAAAACGTACAACATATGAAAGCGTCTTTGGTGTTTTCATGTTTTCTACAAAACAAAACCGGAAATCGAGGGGTTATGACGTCATTGGCAGGCGACACATTGACACTATGGACACGGTCCGTCTCACTAGTTAAAATTGCTTATTTCTCTGGATTTAAACAATCTTCGAAACATTTGGGATAATGTAAGTACACAAATCAGCAAAATATATAACACTGTTCTAGTGGTTTTTGGATATTTTAATTTTAAAAAATCTTACATATTGTGCCTTTAAGGAAACAATCGCAGGTTACCATTTTTTTACAGTGTATAAGAGTTGATCAATGTTTACACAGTATAAAAGCCTAAATTAAATCTGTTCATCATATAAAGCAATTGTGCCTTGGATTAAACTAGACTTGGATTAGACCACTCGTTTCATATGGTTTTCTTTTTTTTCTTTTTACAATCTCTTTATGAACTTTTTGAAGTGTCAGTGTTTCGGGGAATAGACTTTGAATGGAGAGACAGGAATCTCTCAGATTTCATTAATTTCTTTGTTGAAGATGAACAGAGGTCTTATAGGTTAGATATGACATGACAGTTTAATAAATGATGAAAGAGTTAAAATTTTTGGCTTAACATTAATTGACAAAGAATAATAGTATATTTCTACTTATTATATTATTATTTGTAGTGTATAACAATAGTGGGCCACATTTATATTTATTTAAATTATATATTTATAATATTAACCATATTTATCTTAAATTAATTAATGTAACTTTATTGTTTATTAATTATGTTTATAGTTTTTTAAACTACTTTAACCTAGATAAAAATAGGTTAGTTCATTATACCTAATGCCTTTATGATACCATGATATCTAATAAATGAATTTTAATGGAATGAATCTTATTTGAATGAATGAATGAAGTATCAGACCAACAGTTTTCGCCTTACGTACAATCAAATGAGCAGGAAAAAGTTTGTAGACTTCCCATCCCATATCATATCACAATATCATAGAGACTTAGGGGTTTGCTCTTTAGACTTGCATGGGCCACCCAAAACCCCCAGAAACCACCAAGCAGCGCCCTAGCAACCACTCTGAACTTGCATGGACAAGTTCAAGATAGTTAAAAACAACATTTGATCAAATATTTTAGCATAATGCATTTATGAATAACCTTACCAGTTTGTCCACAGACGCCTTTCACAAAAATGATTGTTGATCGTTCAATAAGGCGAAACGCACCTTAAAGAACGAGGTTAGCCCATTGAAAAGTCCAGTCTTTGAGAGTGCTGTAGGATATGATTGGTATGTTTGAAGCACTGTATTTTTGCTCCTCCGGAGGCCTTTGTAGATGTGTTTGATCTGTTATTTTCTCCCTCCACTTCAGTGGGACTCACATCCCGGCGATTGCTGCCGGCCGCCGCAGAGCCTCTCACAGCATCCCTGCTGAGGTCACTCTGGCCCAGGTCAGGAACAGAAAAATACCCCCCTCCTTTACCTCCTGACACTACAGCCTCTCTCTCTTTCTCTTTGGGTCTGTGCCATCTACGCCTGCTGTGGAAAAACACTACATCTCATTTGTGTTCATGTTGAAAATGCAAAGATGTAAATGAGATTTGAAAGCAATTGCATAT